ACACACGCACGCTCGCTCACTCACTCACAAACCCTCGCTCGCTCGCTCACTCACACACTCACACACAAACACACTCGCTCACTCACTCACACACTCGCTCACACTCACACTCGCTCACTCACAAACACACTCGCTCACTCACTCACTCACTCACTCATACACTCACTCACACATTCACTCACTCACACACTCGCTCACTCACTCACTCACTGCCCAATTTCACGTGCAAATCAGTAAAATCATGTAACGTGAGTCGTGACTTTTGTAAAATGAGATGTGCTTGATTTATTAAAGTTGATTAGATTTATTCATGTTTTTAAAAGTGCTAAAAAGAACTGCTGTTCCTCAGGAGGATCTCTGTGCCTGCGCTCAGAGACAGAACACAACACGGACATGTAAAGTGAACGTTTAGCTTAAACTGCGTGCATAAACACTCAAATACATGCAAAAATGTGTCACAATGTGGCACATAGTGGTTATTCACATAAAACCTCATCGGCTATGTAATAAGTGAACATTAACAGTTGAGAATGAAAATACACGTGTAACAGTAAATTGGATCCGTGCAGCTCTTAAAGTGACAGCAGCTATATTCCTGCTGCGACTGTGTGCTTGATATTAATCAAACAACAAAAGACAAAGACAAAATAGGCACACTGCTCCTGACTGAAGGAGATTTGTAGGTTTAATAGCAAACTAAGGAAGTTTAATTCTGGCCCACTCATAATCGTGTTAAATAATTGTGATTACAATATTGACCAAAATAATCGTGATTATGATTTTGGCCATAATCGAGCAGCCCTGACGGACGTACATTCATTCTGCCAGCCAGAAGCTCACACTTTCACCTGTCTACTGACATTTTTGCTTTTTATTTTTAGCAATGTAATTATATTTTTCATTAATTAAATGTTAGGTTTTTATTTATGAGAATATTTTATCTTTACTAAAAGAAAATTTGAAATCAGCTGGAATTTAACAGCACAGATTCATACTCTAGGTTTCTAAACACTGTCACTTAAATGACTTCTCATTAAATTTGTAAAGTTCACATCAGACTCTGATAACTCAGGCATGTGATCAGCTGAAGACAAATAAGATCCCTAAAGTTGCTATATTCCTGCTGCGACTGTGTGCTTGATATTAATCAAACAACAAAAGACAAAGACAAAATAGGCACACTGCTCCTGACTGAAGGAGATTTGTAGGTTTAATAGCAAACTAAGGAAGTTTAATTCTGGCCCACTCATAATCGTGTTAAATAATTGTGATTACAATATTGACCAAAATAATCGTGATTATGATTTTGGCCATAATCGAGCAGCCCTGACGGACGTACATTCATTCTGCCAGCCAGAAGCTCACACTTTCACCTGTCTACTGACATTTTTGCTTTTTATTTTTAGCAATGTAATTATATTTTTCATTAATTAAATGTTAGGTTTTTATTTATGAGAATATTTTATCTTTACTAAAAGAAAATTTGAAATCAGCTGGAATTTAACAGCACAGATTCATACTCTAGGTTTCTAAACACTGTCACTTAAATGACTTCTCATTAAATTTGTAAAGTTCACATCAGACTCTGATAACTCAGGCATGTGATCAGCTGAAGACAAATAAGATCCCTAAAGTTGCAAAGACTAAAGTCTCAAATCCAAAGAGGTATTCTTTATAAAAGTTAAGAGTCAGCCACACCTACCTAAAACGGCTCGTTCTAACATGCCCCCACATACCTACATCACTATGTGGGAAGATTTGCATAACGCTGCCCAAATGTTCACGCAAAGAAAGAAGGCGTAACTTTTATTCTCGCTGTAGTATTGCTGTTGCTGTTCAAGCTTTATATAGACGTTTCATCGGGCGCACGTGCTTGGCCCGAAGTTAACTTCCGGTCTGTGTTTGTTTATCAGTCTGGCGCCGGCTACAAACGCAGTTAAAGTTAAGGTGATGAGTAGACTGAAGTTGGGCTCAGGTGGTTGTGCGGTGGGATGCGTTTCCCATACATTTATTTATTTGTGGCGCTCGCCACAATATCAAAACTGACGGATTTTCCAAAAGGCTTCGTTGAATAAAAATTAGCACGTACTGTACATTTAAAAATCAAAACGAGGCGCGGTGTTTTTATATCACTGTATTTCTGAAGGAAGACTATCTTTAGAAAATTTTCAATGTCATTTTCTTTTCATCTTGCATGTTATATGCCTGATAAAGCAGCATTTGTGAGCTCAGCACTGCTTTGTGTAACTTACAGCTGTTACTGGGGAAACCTCTGTTTCTCCGCTTTAAAGCACCTCCTGCTGGCAGAGAATTAATTTGCATTTTCAGTAAGTCCGTCTGATTTACGCAGCAAACATATTTTGCTTTTCCTATATCCACGGGTCGGGTAATAAAAAAAGCATTCTGATTATTTGCGGGTGGGTCGCGGGGTGGATAAAATAAATAATAAATGATGCAAATATTAACACCACAACTAGATCCTAGTGAACTGGCAAATTACAGACCCATCTCAAATCTTCCTTTTATGTCTAAAATATTAGAAAAAGTTGTGTCTGCTCAATTGTGCTCCTT